CTTGGAAGGAAGTAAGGCACAGATAAGAATAGTTACTTTCACTGTAAAAGCTTCTTCAAGCTTCTTTAATTCATCATTTGACAAACAAAAAACAAATTAAGAAAAAAAAATGCATAGCAAATATTTGAAATTAAATGTTTATCATATTTATTTGTAATTGCTATTATTTCATGGATCATCAATCCATCTCCTGTAAGTTGTGATAGAAAGTGCATAAATTAAAGATCATCGATCATACCTTTGAACTTTCTCCATTTCTTTTGTTGTAATCTTCTTTAAAGGCTTCGTACTTGTCAATATTTTCGGGCTGCATAACAAAGGCCTCAAATCTTTCGCGTTCAAACTGCATTTACAATTAAAACAGAATAGATGAGGATTTTTTAGGAATATAATTCAAGTAAACATCAATCACTCAGAACAATATAGATTCAATCATTAATATGAAATCCTTTTTTTTTTTTTTTTGCCACAAATAAACTATTATATTATAGAGAAATAAACTCATCCATTATTACAGCATATATGCTGAAGTTTTGTCAGTCAACACATAATTAAGGAATACTATATAACTACTAAGGGTGGGATATGACACCTTTTAGCCAAACTAGCATCACAAAACATGCCTTTCTCCAACAGACCAATAAATTCATAAAATAATAAAGTATTTATTTCCCTTATGAATTTCCATAATCTTCCCACAGTTAAAATGCATTCAAATTCCCATAAGAGTTACTAAGATTGATAGAGAAAAAAAACACTCAAAGCAATTCTCATAATTAAGCAGATAAGTATGTTTATAATTGCCTCCTAATAGTCGATTGAATCAATTTAAGCACGCCATAAGTACTCTCAGTCCATTGAAGACTTATACAAAGAACGGGACATTAAAGCAATAACACAGTAAAAGAGCATCTTCAAAAAATTTTATAAGAGAGAATTAAGGCTGAACTCAAATAAATTCTTCTCCACACATATTGGACATTAATTCTTATTCACTACCCTACAATACATATGAAAACAACAGCATATTAATTTATTTACCTTCTCAGTTTTCCGCCTTTCCCTATCATTTGCAATTTTCCTTCGCTTCCTTTCTTCTCCAGGCAGTCGCGGACGCCCTCGTCGTCGTCTGTTTTCTGCTTCATCTGTTTCAGTCCTTTTCCGCTTTCTTCCCTCCGCCATTAATTCTTCCTTTTGACAGATACAATATAAGGAAATTATTAATTAGAGTTAGCTGATCTCATTAAACAAGTAATACTTAAGCAGATCCCCAAACCTCCCTTAGCTCATAATAGAAAATTAAGATTTAATATTCGACCAAAAATTAACAAACAACACAGTAGAATAACTGAAAATTATAATTAGCTGATCTCATTAAACAAGTAATACTTAAGCAGATCCAGGCTACCAACAAAAAAGACAGTAGAATAATTGAAGAAATGACAGAGAAAATGATCAAAATAACAAATTAAGCATGAATATATTCAAACCATGATGACGATGAAAAGTTGCAGCACGAGAAGCTTACCGGTCGGATCGGGCTGGATCAATCTGAAAATGGGAATTTGCTCGTCTTGGATGAATTTATAGGGAATAAAAAATAAAAATAAAAATAAAAAAAAGAAGAAGCGAAAAAGGCTTCGCATAAAATCTTGAGAAATTTGTGTCCGCCGGGATTTGACCTTGCAACCTTAAAGTCTTTAGGTTGATCCTTTACCACCAGGACAATGCAATAGAAACGCCAAAGATTTTAACAGCTTGAGATTCGAACACTTGGTCTCCATGCTGTGGAACAACGGTTTTCCCACTTGTACACAATGCTCTTCTGTCATTTTAATGCTTTACAATATACTTATTCTACTTTTAAAGCACAATTATATTAGAATTTGTTATGAGGAGACTTGAACACCGAATCTCTCTCATAGAAAATCAGCCATCTACCAGTGCAACCCACGAACACCGCGTGATATTTTTTGCAAAATCACATATTTATAGTATTTGATTAACCGGTGGTTTTACCGGTTAAACCGGTTGAACCGTTCAAACCGCGAACCGGAGGTCAAAACGGTTTGACCTCCGGTTCGGGTTTGAAAACATTGGGTTAAAGCCTATTACAGTCCCTCTACTTTCCTTTTTCATTCATTTTCCTCCCTATACTTTGAAATCATTCAAAGATTTCCTTCTACTCTTCTAAAACATACTACTGTACTCCTACTTTTAATCTTCATACTAGTTACCCTCCTCACCTAACACCGTTATTAACACCTTACTAACACCGTTACTAACACCAACACGGCTACTAACTTAGCCAACTATAATCCCTCTACTTTCCTTTTTCATTCATGGTTCTCCCTATACTCTAAAATTGTTCAAAGACCTTCCTTTACTCTGTCGTAGCATACTACTATCCTCCTTCTACTTTCAATTTTCATACTAGTTATCTTCTTCCCCTAAAGCAGTTACTAACACTAACACCATTACTAATTATTTACCATCAAATCTCACTCATTCATTAATTTTTTTTTTATAAATTTTAATTGTAAACTCCACAAGTTCTATATCATCTCCTATGTCATCAATCTAAATATATCTCCAAACTTATATAAATAATACATATATAATTTATTTTTATCACCGTAAAAGTTACACATTTAAAATTATCTACTAAAAAATTAATTAAAGGTATACAAAAATTGATTTTAAAATACCATAATTATAAAAAAAATAAAAAAAAAATAATTCTTGAAATCCACTCCATCTCCATCTCCACCCTATTTTCCTATTTTTATTCGAATTTCTCCCCATGGAAGAAGCAGTAAGTCCGAGGCAGAGAGCGACACTGATAAACCGTCTTCAGTCTCCCACCACCGCCTTTTTTTTGGGCTCCAGCGACGACAAACTCGAACGCGCACAGGGACGCGGAGCCGCAAGCGCAGCTGCAATCCGCCAAACAGCTGCGGCATCCAATCCTCCTTCACCGCCTTCCAACTATTGTCTCAGCAAACAGAAAATCATCGACTTGTTTCAGAACTGCATTAAACTCGCCAGCGAAAATGTCAGTTTCCTTTGCCCTTCTACGAAATTTTAAATAAATGCTGTATCTGTGCTTGGAAATTCAATTGATTATTACTATTAGTATTGTTGGATACATTTTTTAGAAAATAAACCAGAAGAATACTTGGGAGTTGAAGCTTATTGATCATCTTAGTGATATCATCAAAGTTGATGCTGCAGAAGCTGATTCACAGACTAATTTCCAAAGGGTATGAACAACTTTTATGAAATAATTATATACAATGGCTGTACTAAATGCTTGTGTCTTAGTGTTTTAAGTGCTTATGGGAGAGTTTGATGGATAGGCAAGTTGCACGCTGGAAGCCGGCGTGAAAATTTACTCTGTCAGAGTGGATGCTGTGCATGCTGAGGCCTATAAGGTCCTAAGTGGGATCAATCGAGTAGGGCAAGAAGATGTACATGGTATGATAATGTTGAGAATAAAAAGGTTTTTTCTTAATAACCGCTTTGTGAGTTGTGACATTTACTGAAGTCTGTTTGGTTAGAGAGAGAATTGTTTAGCAGCAGGTGGTATTTTCTTAATAATCATCTTAAAGTGCTCTGAATACATGAACCAGAAATCTTACAAAAGAGGTGGGATGTGGTAAAATGTTGAAATTCAGTTCTAATGCTGAAGAGTCAAAGTAGTTGGAGTATTGTGTGGTGGCATCAGTGAAACCAATAGAGTTAATTTCCGCCCTTTAAGATGATTTAGCAGCAGGAGTCATAATGTCAGCATATCCTTTGGGTGGAAATCTAGTTTTGTTGAAAGTCAAAGATAAGAATTTGCTAGAAAAATTAATTGAAGGAAAACTTAACTGGTGGAAAGCTTGCTTTCATAGTATCAAGCGATGGTCTCCATTGGATGGTGCTGGAGCTAGTAAAAAATTTGTTTGGCTTCAAGTTGTGCAATGGAATTGTATAAAAAGTTTCATACCAAAAACAGAATAGAATGGCAATGGAGGAGCATACTTCAATAGGGAAGAATGTAACATCTCATTCCAATACTCAAATAGGCAATTTAGGAATTCAATGTTTTAGTTGTGGAGGGAGGGGGCACTACTCCTTTGCTTGTCCATAACTTGGGGAGAAAGTAAACAAGTTTGAAGATGAAGGAGGTGACATGTTAGAACTAGTTTATGATGTTTATTGTGATGAAATTGAAGAAGAAGCCATTCTTTCAATTCAAGGAGAATCCTTAATTATTCAAGAAATGATGGCAATAACTAAGGAAGAAGGACAAGATTGGAGTCATAAATTATAATACCTTGCATTCTTTAAGTGAAGATGATCAAGAAAAAAAAAATCTCTATTGATAACAAGGTAGTTAGATATTTATCTGGTAAAAACTTTGAAGCAACAAAGTTTGAAGGGAAAGTAAAATAGGAAGCATCTATGCTTATACAAATAAGTTGTTTGAAGAAAAACAAATGAGAAAAATATCTATGCACCCTCCTAAAACTCTGCAGCTATTAGAAGAGTTTAAAGGGTCAGAAAATAAGGAACCACCAGAAGGGTTACTGCCAATGGTGAATATTCAACATGTCTTTGATTTTATTGCAGCAGCAAGTTTAATTAATCTGCCTACCTACAGGTTTGAATTATACACAAAAATGGCAGACTTCTTTCCCTGTTCTAAAATTTCAAATGGCACACAAATTGTTGATTTATTTTTGGAAGAGGTGGTGAGACTACATTGTATTGCAACATTGTATTGCAACATCCATTGTTCGTTATGTGGGTGTAAAGTTTAAAGGACATTTTTGGAGGTCTTAATGCAAGAAAACTGCTCTAGATAAATATGCTAATTACAAGACCTTCAATTTGAACCTAGCACGATTTCCAACCCCAGGGGAATGATGTGGGAGCATAAAAGTCCTTTTTTTTAATTATTAATTTTAGGGCTGTTTTTATTGCATTAAGCTTGCTTTTAGCATGTCTTAAAATTGACTAATAACTATATGGCCTGCTTGAAACCACAATCTATATATATACCTACTGGCTTTCTCACGCTCACCCTAGTGTATTTCATCTTGTTGCAGACAGGCTTAAGAGGTGAGTCAAGTGTAGCTAACATCCTAGCTACTACTCCAGAGGGTCTGCACGTCAGTTGTGAGTATTTACTTAGTAACACAAACCTGTATATTTACCAAAACTAGAATCTCGCTCCATTATTTTGTAAGCCTTTTGCATCTTAGCTTTACTAAGTCCATTTATAAACACTTTATACTCATCCACTTTCCGCTACATGTAGTCTTTTGTTAAAGCTTATGCATATTTGATGCTAAAACTTAGCTTTTTCAGTCATGTGTAAGCTTAACTATGCTCTAATTACATATGTAAGTATATTTCCAGCTATATATGATTCCAAACTCACACTTTAGCTTAGCTGATTGTTGCTGTTATTCTTGTGCTAAGCATTTCCTGTGCCCTAGTCTGATTTTAAATGCTAAAACTAATGTACCAAATTTTGCTATAACTATAATAGAGCTCTATGATTAATCCTAACTACCCTCTTGTGTTAACCAAACCTTTGCAAGGTCAATTCAAAATTTTCAGCGTTACCTTGCTAGTTTCAAAACATTCTGATGGAATTTTAATTCCATTTTAAATGAATGCATATACGCTGAGGTTTTGTTAGTCACAACTCATAAGGAATACCATATAATTAATCCTGGGATAGACAACTGTTAGCCAAACTAGCATCACAAAACATGCCTTTTTCTGAGACCAAATCGATCAAATAATAGAGCATTTACTATTTATTGCCCTTATCAATTTCCACAATCTTCCCAAAATTAAAATGCATTCCTATAAGAGTTTTATTGATGAGATTCAGAGAGAAAAAAACATCCGTTTGGGGTAACAAAAATGTAATGACTCACCTGGAGTACGAGAGCGCTACCAGCTTCAGCATTTCCGGCATCGGCGCAAAGTTTCAAAAACCTACGAGCAGGCTCTGACCAGGTTTTTGCTTTAATGGCGAACATTTTTGAGGAGCCTTTGGATAACACAAGAGGATGCAGCGCCAAACTATTTAATCTCTTGCATCTGTTACAAAAACTTTAAAAATCAGATTCAAAATTTATTCTAAAACATACCCAGAACAGCAATTAAAAATCATATACAGAGAATCGGCGACGTACGTCATCAAAATGTTGACGAAATCCGAAGGAGAACCAGCGGAGGAGCTGAGCTTGGAGAGAATAGAAATGAATAGATCATCCGGCAAAGAATCGAACAAATCGGACTCCTCCTCCGCCATCTTCCGCGAGAATCTCTGCCGTTTCTTGTAAGGCATGTGGTTGCCGGAGAAATCCAGGAGCTTCACTGCTCTCTTCTCCGCCACAAATTCTCCGCTCTCGGATAACAATCGCTCTTCCTCGTTCTCGTTTCTCAGCCCGTATCCAATTTTCTCGGTTTTCTCTGGCTCTACGGTAATGAAAAAAACAACGAAAGTGGAGAGTATGGCCTTATATCAAGGCAAAAGGGTAAATGAGCCCCTCTACTCTTGAATTAGTAGCAAATCAGGCCCCATAATCATTTGGAATCCTTTTGTTAAGAAAACCATTCTGCTTCCAAACTTGGTGCTAGTTAAATGTGAAGAGGTTTCTTCTTGCATCTTCATCTGACTCTTCATATTGTGTAATTGTTTTACTCTTCAATCAGGATGGCAGTTATTTCATTGACTTTTATCTTCATAAACGGTGATGGCAAATGGACCAAATGGCATAGTTTCTTTGCAGTATTCTACCGTCGGGAATTCAAAAGACTAATCACAATAATCTGACATTCTGCTTTCTTGGTATGAAGGGAAATTTAGTGGCTTTGAGAATGGATGATGTAGAGAAGGTATTTTTTGAATTACTTAACAAGCCTGAGTGTCCTTTGTGACTTCTTTCGCCAAAACTTTCTATTAGAATGTGATGGGGAGCTTCTTTTTGTGCTTGTGGGTTTCTTAAGAGAGTAGGTTCAAATTTCTAGACTGTATTATATTAGAATAGATTGTTAGTAACAATACTCTAAAAAACATTAATATTAACCATCCATACATTACTACGTGTGATAACTTGTAGTTTATATTATTAACATCAAGTTCAAACATCCAATTTGACACAACCACCTAATTAGTGTTCATGTAATTAAGTTAATATCATTCTAAATAATAGCTGCACCAACATTGTTAATCCATAGCTACGACAAGCCGCACCATGAAACATAAAACGTGCATCATCCATGTGACATGTTCCATAAGAAGCTACATAAATGTGGAATCAAGAGAAAGGTAAACCTCTAAAAAACACTCTAAATAACATGTAGTTTATATAATTAACATCCATTGCAAATATCCCATTCAACACAACCATCTAATTAGTGTTCATGTAATTAGGTTCATATCATTCTAGATGATAGCTGCACCAACATAATCCATGGCTACTATAAGACAAGATAACCATAAAACCTCCATCATCCATGTAACATGTCCCATAAGAAACTACATTAAAGTGGGATCAAGGTGAAGTTAAACTTTTCATTGGATGGCAGGACCACCAGAGGATCCAGCAGCAGCAGTGGTTCCTCCTTTCATGCCAGCAGGGTCATGATGAGGCTCTGCAGGAGAGACAAAAGGGTCATATGTAATACCAAGTTATTAACTCCAGATATTCCTTAAAAAACATTGAGAATATAATAAAGAAGTATATGGGTTAAATATAAGGAGAGTTACTCCATCTATTGCCAATTGGTATTAAGTTGGATGCAAAACTTGTGTTTAAGCCCACATGCCAATTTTCACAAAAATTAATTAAGATACAGCAAACTCCGTAGTAAATAATGCAATACCTCCAATTACAGGCACCTGCAGTCCATACTCGTTGCAGTATTCCTGCCTCACCAAATCATTTCCTGCCAACATTTCAGGTTGAGGGTCTTCCAAGGACAAGAATTCCAATGTTCCATCCTTCTGAAATTTAATAGAGAGATGTAGAAGGAAAACACGCAATAGTCTAGAACTTTTGAAAGCATGCACATAATGTGTGGCTTATGTAATAATATATTATATTAAAACCCAAAAAGAAAAGGTGTATGGTTGGAACTTGGAAGGAAGTAAGGCACAGATAATCGCACCTTCAAATCTTCCTCAAGCTTATTTAATTGTTCTTTGAACTCCTGTTCTTCCTTTTCCTCAGAGTCTTTGAACATGTCAGTAATTCCAGACTCCCCACAAAAGGCCTCGTTATCTTTGAGTTGAAACTGCATTTACAATTAAAACAGAATAAATGAGGACTTTTCAGGAATATAATTCAAGTAAACATCAATCATTCAAAACAATATAGATTCAATCATTAACATGAAATCATTTTTTTACCACAAATAAACTATTATACTGGAGAAAAATAAACTCATCCATTATTACAACACAAATAAATAGATCCTAAACGGTAGAACCTATAGAAGATTCTCAAAATAACATACAAGAAAACTGCACCCATAACAAAACATAGAGCAGTTGCCGACACTAGTAGTTCTATAATCAGAAATGTTAAAAGTATAAATGCAACATAACATCCATATATACCTTATCTGAAGTTACCGACAGGTCCTGCAAGTTAGTAAATTAAAATTAAAAATAAGTTAAAATGATAATCCCATGGTATATACTAATTACAACACCATCAAAAGATAAAGCAGCAAGCTTTCTATACCTTTGGAAAAATCAGCATTTGAATTTCCTGCAGGTTAAGAAAAAATTAAAACAGAAATTTCAGAAATAGAATAATATCAACATTATTAAAAGATGATGCAGCAAAATATTCCCAACCTCGTCAAAGTATTGGTTTGCTAAATCTTCCTGGAAGTGGAATTTAAGAGGAGGAGTTGGAAAGAGTCAGATAAAGAGTAATGTGATTAATGTATTAAATACAATCAAAAAAGAAAAGATGGTTGGAAGTACCTCTATAACTTTCCCAAGCTTCTCCAATTCTTCACTGAATATTCTTTTT